GCATTTAAATTGCAAATATGATCCTAATACATGACTTAAACACTGTATCAGTTAAGTCATGATAAGAGAACCAGAGAAAGCCATTACATTTTGATAAAAGATTAAGAAAAACCTTTTTTAAATGTACACATGTTAAAAAATACTCATTTTCACTTCAAAATTAATCATCAAATACATCATCAATCCTTCTTCCAAAACATATTTTTGTCTTATCAGAGTCACTATGTTATGAGCGTTTATATTTTAAAACCCGTCGGGATGGTTTTCACAAGAAATTGTGTTTATAAAATTGAATTTCACCACAATGAAATGGCCCATAATACTTTATTTATTTTGTCTGTCTCGTCAAATCCGAAAATACAGAAAAGTTCCTGTCAGAGACTGTTGACATAGTACATCATCCTGCTGGAAGTAGCCATCAGAGGATAGGTACATGGTTGCCATCATAGACAAACACTAGACCTCACCTTGGATACGGCAGTTCATTGGAACGAATGCGTCAATAGAGCCGCCATCTTGAAACAGGGGAGCCCCTCCACTTTAATGCATCAGCGTCAATGTAGTAGACACAGGTCTAACGCAAATAAAATCATCACAAATCATCATGAATGCGATTTTTCTTGTTTTTTGGTTTGTTCCAACGGTCAGACATGTATTTATCATTGATTCCAGAAAGAAAATTAAAAACATTTTTTTTTTAAAAATTTTGTTAAACATTCTTCCTAGTTCAGATTTCATCCGTGAACTTCATACGCTGCACAAAAGTCCGCCACCATCAATGAATTTGAAGTAAAGGCAGCGATAGCAGCGTTACCTAGCTACTTCCTATGACAAGACCCCTGTTCCAAGATGGCGGCGGTTTTGACGCATGCTTAGAACCCCCAGGTGTCTAGTGTATATGTCTATGGGTTGCCATAAAGTCAAGTCAAGTCAAGTCAAATATATTTATATAGTGCTTTTCACAATACAGATTGTATCAAAGCTGCTTCACAGTATCAATCAAGACAACATCACAGTGTTTCATGAAAAAAGACAATCAAGATTGGTAGAGCTGATCAATGGTATGATGGGTCATTTAATTTGAATATCCCCAACTGAGCAAGCCAAAGGCAACAGTGGCAAGGAACCAAATAAAGGGTTGGACATGCTCAGAAACAATGCTCAGGTAGGCCGTGGCATTTAAAACGATGCCCAATTGGCACTAAGGGGCCTCAAGTGTGCCAAGAAAACATCCCCAACACCATTACACCACCACCACCAGCCTGCACAGTGGGAACAAGGCATGATGGATCCATGTTCTCATTCTGATTACGCCAAATTCTGAATGTCTCAACAGAAATCGAGACTCATCAGACCAGGCAACATTTTTCCAGGCTTCAACTGTCCAATTTTGGTGAGCTCTTGCAAATTGTAGCCTCTTATTTGTCGTGGAGATGAGTGGTACCCGGTGGGGTCTTCTGCATAATTGCATTGTGAAACCAAACCAAAACTTTCTGAAAGTATAAAATGTATGAAAACGTGAACTTTGGTTTGGACCTTGGTGCGGACTTTCAGATGCGAAAACGCCCTTACTGATCACACGAAATGGCCAAAGCATCTCAGCAAGACTAACAACACTGCTATAAAAAACAAGACCACCATATGAAATCCACCCGTCAGCAAAACAAGAAGCCCCTTTTGCCACAAAGCATACTCGTAAATCAGAATGACACAAAGGCTGATAGTCTCTGATAGGCTGCTTTTATTGGTGCCCAGTGGCTCTATAGGAGCTTGTCTGACCGCTCACATATGCTACCTGCATCTCGTAAGAAACCCATAAACTGATGGCACACAAACTTGGGAGGGATCTCTTCCCAATGATTGGCCCAGAGTGATCCTCAATTAATTGTGTTAGGAACGTGTTTTCAGGAAGCCAGATGCAGTGAAGATACCACACGAGGTCCCAAAGCGGGCCGCCGTGAGTGTTAACATTGACGCGGTCGGATAACGAAGAACGGCTGCTACATGAGATGCAAGGTGACTTATCAGGTACGTTTAGGATGGACAGAAAGAGTGCACGTCCACCTGGAAAACTCGATGACAGACGGTCTCTTATTTAAAACACATGCATGTGTGTGCATGTCAGACTTATGCAAAATTTATCACCTCACACTTCCCATGAGGCTGTCTTTGCGGAAACATTCCTGATGGGAACTAGGTCTAACCTGAAAAAAGCTCCCCTTCTCATGTCAGAGGAGCTCATTGTGTTCTGACGGTGATGAGCGAGAGGGAACCAGGTTTGTTATGCAAGTCTGGGCTACAGTTTCATCTAAAGCGGACATTTCCTGGCCACAGGCACTTTACAAACTATTTATGAGAAGTTTGTGAGTGACACTGACCTTTTCATGACAATGAGTGTGAGTGTATATGGGTTAATGACGTTAAGCCTCATTCTTTTTGTCCAAAAGCCTTAATAACAATAAAAAACAAAGATATGACATCCAAAGTATGTAAGGTAGTACAACTTGATCTCTTTTAATGAATCAAGAAGGTTTTAATTATATTTTATAAAGGTATTTTAAAGGTTTTGAAGTGTCAAAAGGTCATTTCATTTCATACAGCCATTTCATTTGTCATTTAAATATCTTAAAATGTAATAAATGCACAGTAAAAAAAAAATATTTTCAAGATTTGTTATCACAACATTTTTTATTTTGTCAAATCACCTTAAATAATTTATTTAGTTGAGATAACTTATTATTTTGAGTTTCTGATGATTCAATTAATCTCCTTCATTGTATTAACTCACTTTTTCCAGTTCAATCAACTTAAAATTTTAAGGCAACCTGGTTACTTACGGTACTTTTTTAAGTTAAACCAACAATGTATATATTTTTTATTCTGCCATGATTTTATAACATTATCAACATAGTGCAAAATGGTCTTAGAATTATGTGTGGAAGTCATTGCTTTGTTATGAGAAAGAATTCATTTGGTGTAACCAATATAAAGGCACCATTTTTTAAGTCATGCGGTCAATGTCATGTGACATCATTTAGACACCTGCAAAGGAAGCAAAGCAAGTAACTAACTATTTGAAAAATTCATGCTTTCATTTGCTTATACACATGTCCCGAAATATCAGGTCATTCGGAACAACCGCTATAAAACATGTAAATTGTTGTAATATTTTAAAAACTTGTACTAAATATCAAATTTAGTTTGATTGACTTTTGGTAGCTATCTAGCCAGCTAACTATCTAGCTAGCTAGCTAGATATCAGCCTGTTAGCATTGTTTGAAAAGTTGGTGGTATTACCAAAAGTGTAAATTGGTAATACTGTATATGTGATGGTGAATCTCACAAAGAAATGTGTCATTGGTGTCATATTTTACCTGAAAATCAATATATATAAATGAAGATATTTATACACATACACACATGCGTACATAAAAATATATATATACACACACACAGTGTGACATATAATATATTATACATTTAATTCCCCCTTTTGGTTAATATTAGCATTTAAAAAAAACAATGCCATTCTATATTTTAAATTACTTCACTTTTTTTTAAATAATGTATTTTAAAAAATAATCATTTTCTAAATTTTATTCTGCAATACATTTATAAAATAAAACAACAACAACAAAAAACTTTATAAACAAAGAAAAATAAGGCAATTAATAAAATTGCATTAAATACAATACAAAAAAACCTACCAGACTGTACTTTCGACTGTACAATTTGTTTGAAATTATAATTTTTCAAAAATGATAGGCCATATTTACTAAACTGGGAAAATTAGAATTAGCGCTGATTAGAGTGGAAAGTTCTTCGCGTGCGTCATCCACTGACGACGAATAACACAGACGCTGCTGGATAATTTCCATAATGACCAACGCAATCTACCAAAAGCAGCGCAAATTAGCATTTGGTTTAAGACGTGCTTTTTTGGCGGGTTAATAATGGCACAAATACACCTTAATAAATCACTGCCGCAAAAAAAAAAAAAATATTTGTTTAATAATTTCACCGCGCGTCTTTAGTAAATCCCGACAGTAGTTTTTAATGGCAAAAGAGGGTTTGCGCTGGTGCAAGCTGTTGAATTAATTATTATATGTGTGCTAAATGTCACAATGCAAAACAATGACAACTGCTTGTCACGATTCTTTTTTTTTTTCACTAAGCAAAAATCATAAAACTCATATAAAGAATTTATTTTCTTTAAAACAGGCATAATTGATCATTTCCCACCCGTTCTCTAACACCTGGGCCCAATACATACTATTCACAGTTGAATGCAAATGCAAGTACATATTTTCTTTCCAGTGAAATTCTCGCATGACTGAGCAACAGTTGAGTGAGTCAAACAGGCTGTTTTTTACTACTGTACCTTTAAGACTTTAAAGACCTCAGTTATGATTTGCTAACTGTTTGCATGTGAAATCAGTATTAACACTTGTTTTCCATGATTTGTTTCCTTTAAATGACAACTTTAAACATATGGCATGCATAGAAAATTAATTTACCAGCCAATTAACTGACTAAGCATCTGCAGACTCTGGTCATGTGACAGCGTTGACAAGGATTCGATGACAGCTTTATGTGGGAAATTTGCAGGGGCCGCACTGCGTGCTCAACATCTTTGAGAATAATTCGCAAAAGCGAAAAATCTCACTCCCAGAATCCCAAGCAAAGACTTTCAGCTATTCTCACTTGCCCGTGGCTATGACAGCTTGCAAAACCAGCCTTCTTATATCTCTCTGATGACCAACAGCGGAGGCGTTCTGATCTCGAACCCTGACCCGCCGGACCTCAAAGCTCTGGACCACCACACCTCCCGTCTGCACCAGCAGAACGCTGTCACAACTGACATCATCATGTCGAGTATTGCGCAGCTATGAAGGCGTGTTTGACCCAGGAGAGTGAAGACTGACCTACTTTGGGGCGATTCCACTCGTTTCCGCAGGCAGGGACAGCAAACTAAGGTTTGAAGGACACACCAGACCTACCTGCTCTCTCATGCTTCAGCTCAATGTCTGCTTCTTGGGGATTTGTTATCTTGGAAGACTTTAAAAGTAGACCTAATAAAGCAGTGATTCTTGAGCCATGGGACGAATCTGACAGCAAACCTGGAAACAGAAAAAGTTTTAGGGTTATCAACTGAAGGGGAAAAAAAGCATTCATTTAATTGTATGGTGATTAGTTAAAGGGATAGTTCACTTTGAAATTAATTTTTGGTATGTTTTAGTTTACCTCAAGGGCATCCAAGATGTAAGTGTCGTTGTTTCCGCTGTAGTTTCAATGTTGATGTTTTTAGGTCAAACCGTTTTTGTCTGTCAGTCATATAATGGAGGTCTATGGTCACCACCTCAAAGAGCATGCACAGAGAAGTCCAAATTAAACATGATTTAATGACTCGTAAATGTAAGTACACATTGATGGCCTAAGAAACGAAACGAGCGGTTTGTGTGAGAAAACGAACAGTATTTATATCGTTTTTACCTCTTGTAGCGCGGGCGTTCTGTGGCTGTGGTAACGAGGTAAAACCGATATAAATACAGTTCATTTTCTCACACAAACCGCTCGTTTCGTGTCTTAGGCCATCTTACATTCACGAGTCATTAAATCATGTTTAATTTGGACTTCTCTGTGCATGCTCTTTGAGGTGGTGACCATAGACCTCCATTATATGACTGACAGACAAGAACGGTTTGACCTAAAAGCATAAAAATTGAAACTACTGCGGAAACAAAGACACTTACATCTTGGATGCCCTTGAGGTAAGCTAAAACATAGCAAAAATTAATTTCAAAGTGAACTATCCTTTTAATCAAATGTATTGCCATAATATCAATATTTGCTGAGAAAAGACCCCAAATGGAGATATTTCAATGATATTACTGGGTTAGATGAGTAAATCATTGCATAGATGTTAGAAGTCTATATAAATATGGTCTCATATAAATGTATATATATATGCACACACACACATTTTCAATCAATAATCTATAATGTAATTTTAATTGTAATTTAAAGAGAAGTCAAAAGGCAGGTAAGATTGTGGGCCGTTTCATCCCATAGTACTCAGTGATCAAGAATTCATTGAGTATGTATGACTAAGCACAGACAGAACAGGATTTTTCCATCTTAAGCAACTGGTTATTCATGCAGAGTAACAGATTATCAGTGGTGTGCGACTGACAAACTTTCCCAATGATGTCAGCAGTCTCTGACAGTTAAAGGAATAGTTGACCCTAAAATTCAATTGTCACCCGCATTTTTGTATTTGAAGAGTTCAGATGCAAAAGCCTCTAAATGCCATTTGAAATTTTCTTCTTTAATGATGATTTTTTATCAAGCTTGTATATTTAAGTTCAGTAATTTCACTTAAATAACAATTAATAGGTAATTATCATTGCCATTTAAGTGAAATCACTGAACTTAAATATACAAGCTTGATAAAAATGATCATTCTAGAAGAAAATTTCAACTGGCACTTAGAGGCTTTTGCATCTGAACTCTTCATTTCTTTCCTCAATGAAGTACTTCTTATGAGATCATCAGAAAAGCACCATTAAAGTATTTAACCGCCACTTCAGTGTATATCACAAAATCAACTTAATGTGAATCTGAAGACTAAAATGGCCTTGTAACACCTGTTTCAATGTAATGGGAATAAGTAAAACCTTACTCTTTCTTATTTTCAGAACCACTATGATGTGTCTCATTGTTATGGTTTTTCTAATAGCTTAAGGGAGAACAATAAAGCGTCTGAATCGGAGAACTAAACGCATTGCACAGTCTCCCGCTTCATAACTCTTGTCTTCACAGGTCTTTGAATGCTTTGACAACGCTGGACTGTCTGTGCCAGACGATGTTCTCACGGCAAAGGAATGCCAGCGACTACAGAATAAAGAAAGAGGCACTGCTCTTTCTGACATACAGTATCTCTCATGTCTCCTCCTATGGGTTTGACATCCATCAATCCTGTCTGAAATTTAGTTCCTTGGAGTGAGAATGGCAGACAACTGATGTTTCACTGCACAAAAAGGCGAGACATTGCACAGTGAATCACAGAATAATAGCACCATCTGTGTACCACGTTAGAAAGGCACAAAACGTTTCACATTGTTAATATTTTTTTGTCGTAGTTTCCATTAAAAATTATCTTAAAGTAATTTGAGCATCATAAAAACAAACAACTAAATTCTTGAGAAGCAAAATAAATCGTGTTGTTTTAGATGTTTTACTGATTGGCTAAAAAATATATATTGTTTTATATAAACTTTACAATAAGGTTTAGTTTGTTAACTATTTTAGTCAACATGAACTAAGAAAGAACAATACCTCTACATCATTTATTAATCTTAGTTAAAGTTAATTTCAGCTTTTACTGATACATTACTAAAAGTTGTGTTTGTTAACATTAATTAATGCACTGTGAACTAACATTAACAAAGATTAACAAATACTTTAACAAACGTATTGCTCATTGTTAGTTTATGTTAGTTAATACTTTAATTTTAACAAATGAGACCTTATTGTAAAATGTTAGCTTTTTTAAAAAGAAAAAAAAAGAAAAAATATTATATTTTATGATATGAAGACTTTTTCCCACTTTTTCTTTTAAATCTTTATTTTTTTTAAGCATTTTTTTTTTACAGGAAAACAAGAACAAAATAATGATTAACGCAATTATTTTTAAGAACGATTAAGACTGACGTGACGTCAAAGGTAAAATGATTTGTAATTTTGTAAATGTAAAAGTTGTGAGAAACAGACAGTCTCCTATGAGACACCACTTTGACATGAACGGGTGGATTCGAGATGCTTCTCTGATTGTGGGTGTGTCGCAGTCATCATCAAGTATTAACTTAATTACTTACATGAGCGATCAAATCATCACTTAATGAATTATGAGATTTTTTGAGACATGTTTACGGCTCTAGTGTTCCAGAAACGGACAGACAGGAAACTTGAAAAACCAGCGGATTTATAAAGGATCATTTTATGACGAATACAACTTAAGCTCTAAATTATCACAGAATCTGGTATTCTGTCGTTTACAAATGAAATCATTTGGACTCGTCTCTTGGTTTATAAACAGTGACAGAAAACAAGTTCACAGTAAGGCACTTACAATGGAAGAAGGGTATCGGAAGTTTTAGAAGCAGAAATGTAATTTTGTTTAGTAAAAAAAAAAAAAGTTATTCGATCTGTATGTCCATTTGAGATGGGACTACTTTTCTAGGCGGATGAACTTCTATATATGCAGCACCCACAGAGTTCCAGAAATTGCAGTTTTGTTCCATGCAAACCCATTTAAGGTTGACCTGCAAACCATAAGGCTTTTTTGAGGTTTAAAGGAACAGTGCTACCAAAATTTTGTCAATAATTCTGTCATTATTTACTCACCCGTTCTCTGACTTGTTGCCTCGCTGCCCTATCAGGCGATGAAATTGCAGGCAGTGTTTGTGCATCGGTTTAATGATCTAAAACAAAATAGAAAGAGCTTTGGTGATAACTAAACAAATATTTAATTACAAAATTTATTGCTAGAAATTACATCAAAAGTAGAAAAAGCTGTTAAAAAAATGCACAATTAAACACAAAAAGGGGGCTTTCGACCGGGTAGTTCTAGGAACTAGCCACCAGGGTGGTTGCCCCGAGAACATTGTCCTGGTTGCGTTTGCACCGCCAGTAGGAACTCTGAAGTGACGCAAGCCGTGACTTTTTGTTGCGACTTTTATTTATTTTTATTTTTTTTGAGCACACAGCACTCGCATTCTCGTGTTCATTAGTTTATGGTCTGTCCAACAGTCCTGTCTAATACATTATTTGAAAAAAGAACTGTTATACATAGAAAGTGGACACTATATGAAAAGGTATTAGTGCTAGTGCTAGTTGAGCAGAAATACATAATCATGTTTCGCTTGGGCCCCTCAAAGTAAAGTTGGATTTTCTCCTCAGCGTAAAGGTTGAAAGGTCATCTTTCACTGCTTTCCATGTTCGTAGAGTTAGTTTTTGGAGTAAATATTTAGGCTATTATAATGTGTGTGCGTTTATTTTTAAATGGCGGGTGCTAGTAGTTCCTATAGTGCTGGTTTAGACCCTACTCTGAAATAGGAGCTAATTTAGTTCCTCCAAAAAGAGTTCTTAGAACTAAAATAATTCCTAGCTCCAAAATCCTGGATCTTCCGCCAATCGTTCAAGGAACTATGAAAAGGTTCCTCTGGTGCGAAACCAAAAGTTTCAGAAGCCATTTTTATATTTTCGCTCAACTGTCATGGAATAGAACACACAGGATTGTGGGATCTCAGTAGACAGGATGTGACATGAGCATTGGATTCGGATGTGGCTTGTTACCGTATCCTCCCATTTTTCAGCTATTTTGGAGCACAATACGTTTTGATTTTGAAGCAATATGATAGTTGAGATTAGAGCCAGACCGATATATCGGCCGATATTAGGGATTTTCCAAACTATCGGTTTCGGCAGTTATAATGGCCGATAAATGAATATTTCAAAAATAAAATAAAAACGGACGAAACACATCAATCATCTCTCCTTGGCATGTTATATTGAAAATGTATGTTTTACAATTTGCAGTATTTAAAAAGTGCAGGTAAAGGGATAAGCAAGCTGACATTGTAATTATAAGGTAGCTTATAAGGTAATGTAGGGACTAATTATTATTTTATTTATCAGAACTTTTCTGTTGTGACAATAAAAGAAACAAATTTATTTTTAAAATGCTTTATCATACTATGTTAGTTAAAACTCATAAATAACTACAAATAACTGTTAGGGAAATCCGTTAATGTTTTGTTGCGCGTTTCTGAAAAAAATAAAATAAAATAAAATAAAATATCGGCCGATATATCGGAATATCGGATTTTAAAACCCAAAAATATTTGTATCGGTCTTCAAAATCCTTTATCGGTCGGGCTCTAGTTGAGATTAAAGAAAAGCCCTCTAAAAATCTTCCCCTCCGCCAAAATCCCATTTGCACATCATACCAGGTTTGACGTACCAAGCGCATGTTGACCGTTTCCTCACACAAAGCTTGTTGTGACTTGGAAATTAAGTCATATGCACTACTTTTATGATGTTTTTTGGATCCCCAATCGTTTATTGTGAAAAAAATAGAAATATCCTGTTAGACATGACAGTATAATGCAATCATTTAAGACATTTCTCTGTATATAGAACCTTTTTTGCATAAAGGTATACAGTATATACTGTATATATATGTGTGTGTGTGTGTGTGTGTTTCTAAATGTGTAGGCAACTATAATCTCTGATGATTCCCTCCTACAACGCACTGAATACTCCTTTACATAAACGCATCACTTGCAAATGCTTGTTCCGGCCCCATCGTCTATAAAACCCTTACAATTTGATGCAATTTCACTTTTTAATTAAGCCGTACCGTGTCATAAATCACGAATCAAGATAATTAACAAAATAACAGAGGCTGATAATGTACAGGCTCGCCTTAAATCTCCAAAGGTCCCGTCGCTGGGCAGTAATAAAGAGCAAATAATGGTGTGGCTGCTTGATATTTTGGTGCTGGAAGTACTGGGAAAATAACACCTTTAACAGCACTGCGGTCTTAATTTGTAGAGGCCGCCTTGCGCTGCTCTTCTCGGGAGGCAGGTCATTTATCATTTAGGCGGCCGTTATTTTTAATGAGTCTGTTATCATTCATTTTAGGGCATCCCACCTTTCCTTGACATGGATAGTATTTCTTTTTATATAGGACACAGGATTTATGCCTCCCTCTCTCTGCATTTTGCTCGTCAGCCACAGCCGCTCTTTCTTTCTTCCTTTCTTTCTTTCTTTTGCTAACTCTCTCTCACTCCAGACACTTTTCTCCCCTCTCTCTCTCTGGACAGGAAGACATCTTTCTTGTCTTCCTGATGGCTCTTTTGGGGCCTAGAGCTGAAAATCAAAAGCCAGATTTGATTCATCAGAATTTTAAAGGTGAAGTGTGTTATGGTATTGTGTTAAACAAGTTCTCCTGTCCTAGTTTAATGTGTAGTCAACTATAAGCAAGACATGTGTATGTTGATTCCCCTAAAACACAGAGGCATAATCATCCTGTATAAGCATCCCAACACAGACTCAACCAATAGCGTGAGATTGGGGGAGGGACAATCTGTTTAACGAACCAATGCATATGAGGGAGGGGTGTGTCCTGGAAACCTGTTTGAAAATAATCATTATTTTACAAATATTTTGGTTACCAATGTGCAAAACATTGGAGCCAAATTATTTTCATGACATTTAATTGCAATTATTCTTGAAAAGGACAAATATACAACATAACCAGTCTGATTCATGAAAGATTCAGAATAACTTTATTCTCTCTCCCTCTAAAATAAAGTTATATCTAATGCAATTTAGCATTTCAAGTCAAATTATCTTGTTTTTAGAATGTTTAAAAATGTATTACTGCAAAAATACAAAATTTGCAGTATATTATTTGCAGTGTCGTTGAAGTAACCCATTCAGAAAAAAGATAAAAATAACAATTAATTAAATAAATCTAAATAAAAAAACATATGTATAAATAAATATATATGTATATATATATATATATATATATATATATATATAAACCTTGCTTCAATCCATTTAGGGGTGTGGTTCTGGTCGAGACAATCTCCTGAACTCCAAACTGAATGTCAGAATGGGAAAGAAAGGTGATTTAAGCAATTTTGAGCGTGGCATGGTTGTTGGTGCCAGACGGGCCGGTCTGAGTATTTCACAATCTGCTCAGTTTCTGGGATTTTCACACACAACCATTTCTAGGGTTTACAAAGAATGGTGTGAAAAGGGAAAAACATCCAGTATGCGGCAGTCCTGAGGGTGAAAATGCCTTGTTGATGCTAGAGGTCAGAGGTGAATGGGCCGACTGATTCAAGCTGATAGAAGAGCAACTTTGACTGAAATAACCACTCGTTACAACCGAGGTATGCAGCAAAGCATTTGTGAAGCCACAACACACACAACCTTGAGGCGGATGGGCTACAACAGCAGAAGACCCCACCGGGTACCACTCATCTCCACTACAAATAGGAAAAAGAGGCGACAATTTGCAAGAGCTCACCAAAATTGGACAGTTGAAGACTGGAAAAATGTTGCCTGGTCTGATGAGTCTCGATTTCTGTTGAGACATTCAGAATTTGGCGTAAACAGAATGAGAGCATGGATCCATCATGCCTTGTTACCACTGTGCAGCTGGTGGTGGTGGTGTAATGGTGTGGGGATGTTTTCTTGGCACACTTTAGGCCCCTCAGTGCCAATTGGGCATCGTTTAAATGCTACAGCCTACCTGAGCATTGTTTCTGACCATGTCCAACCCTTTATGGCCACTATGACCCCATCCTATGATGGCTACTTCCAGCAGGATAATTTACCATGTCACAAAGCTCGAATCATTTCAAATTGGTTTCTTGAACACGACAATGAGTTGACTGTACTAAAATGGCCCCCACAGTCACCAGATCTCAACCCAATAGAGCATCTTTGGGATGTGGTGGAACGGGAGCTTCGTGCCCTGGATGTGCATCCTTCCTTGTTGAATCAATGCCACGTACAATTAAAGCAGTTCTGAAGGCGAAAGGGGGTCAAACACAGTATTAGTAATAGTATGGTGTTCCAAATAATCCTTTAGGTGAGTGTATATATATACTGCTTATACACACACAGACACATGGGTTTTTTTTCTTCAAAAGTACTACAATAATAAAATAAAACTGCTACTTTAAGTACTACAAGAATCATTAAAGGAATTTAATTGATAAGTGGAGGTTTTAAGTCCCTTACAATTACCATTTTTATTTCTCAAGGGCTCAAAAGGGCTACTCAAATGGAAACAACAGTCTGCGTGGAATATTTTTCCTGAATATGAAACTGCAACTATACCTCAGAGTTTGGCAGATGAATGTAGGCGAGTTGCAGCGGCACGTCTACAGGTGTGGTTATCTCAGGGCAGACTGGAGCTTCGCTAAACGCCATAACTCTTCCCTTGATGTAGCCTATCATTCAGCTCATGTCAAGCTGTGACAAGATATGACACGTTTTGACAGATTATGGTCGGCCCACACATCTGACTCTCAGCTCGTTAACCAGCGTTAACTACTAGTGCATGTGATGAAACTGATGCGAGGTTGATGTTTGTTGTTATTTTTTTCATTTTTGATGAACGTCTGAGCAAACACACTGCTTAATAGAGAAAATACACATCGTAAAGATATAGTTCACCAAAAAAACATGTGTTTGAAATGACCTAGGGATGAGTAAATATAAATAAAGACATCATTTTCATTTGTGGGTGAATTATTCCTTTAACATTTTGATTACTGTTTATTATTCATCCATTCCTGACATGTAAAATCACACTTGAAAAAAAGCCAAAAAAAACAAAAAAAAAAACGAGCCACTTTTACATTCCTCTCAACATCCAAGACAATTACGCAACGTCCTGTGACGACTGACCCTCAAGGTTTCTCTTGATATATGAGCCGTTCATTCTGTCTGCTTTCCTCTTCATTTTAACACGATGCCTCGGTGTAAATATTATGCTTTTAAAAAAAAAAATATTCTGCTAAGGAAGCCAGCTCTTTCCCCGCATTCGCACCGCGGCTCAGACTAATAATGCGAGTTTATTGTTCAATGCGGTACGGAACGAGGATATGTCAACAGTCAAAAATGTGCACTGGAACAATGGAATGTCTGTTTAATGTGAGATGTGTGGGTGGTGCGTCAGGATTGTTCTCTTGATTTATGAGGTTCCTGTGCCTTATTTTTTTTACAGTAAGGCTTAGCGCAATATGTCCACAGAGCTGCATCCTGTTGGGAGCAGTGACCGACATGTGTTCCTGTGTTGGAATGGTGTGGCATTCGTCTCTGGCCAGAATCTCCATGGTGCTTATCACCGCCATATGGGATACTGGCACAGAAAGACGGTGCGGCAAACAGGCCTGCATCACACGACTGCGGGTGAACGCTTCTGCTTTAAGAAGTCCAATGCATCAAATGTGCTCGTGCAACTGTATACAGGTCTATTTATGTGGCGTAAGACTAATGGGTCATAGTTTGGAGGATTTGGGACTGAGCAGGATTGTTGGGGGGGAAAAAAGAACGAATTATGATTTAGCCTTATAGGAGGGAGAAAATGCTAATGAAAATGACAAACCTAATAATATTTAATATATGCTCGAGGAAATTTGTCCACCCTGTTACAGGACAATTTTACAATGCAATGTGTGGACATTTTAAGTTAATCAAGCCCATTACTTGATAGGAAAGTACAATATGCTCAAATATGCTTCAAAAAAAAATAATAATAATTCACGTTGAGTATAAATTTACACAACAGGATGGACATGTTTTTTATGCTGTTAGAAAAGGTTTATGACTAATACTTTCTTTATTGGACTTATGTCACTTCTAGCAAGTCATGTTATTTTGGACATAAAATATTACGTTTTAAAGAGCAAGAAGCAGGAATTTAACAAAGATTAAAAATACGGTATAAACAGTAATATTGTGAAAAATAACAATTTAAAATAAAAACAATAAAAAAATGAATTAATTAGGGCTGTCAAATGATTAATCGCAATTAATCGCATCCAAAATAAAAGTTTGTGCTTACAAAATATATGTGGGTGTACTGTGTATAATTATTTTGTATATATATATATATATAAATACACACACATGAATAAATTATATATAAATCTATATACAGCATATACATGAAAATATTTATTTAATATATACAAGCATGTGTGTGTATTTATGTATATAAAATAATCATACACAGTGCACCCATATATTATGTAAACACAAACTTTTATTTTGACAGCCCTAAAATTAATACTTTAATTCAGTAAGCACACACCAAATTGGTCATGAGTAACAGTGAAAATATTTAAGATTTATATTTATAAAAGATTACTGTTTCAAACAAATACTGTTTGAATTTTCTATTTCAACATTGATGATAATAATAAGAACCACTATTAATAGTTGAGCACTAATAATAATTCATAATAATCAGGATCATGTGACACTGAAGACTGGAGCTAAAAATTCAGCATTGATCACAGGAATAAATTACATTTCAAAATATTTTAAAATAGAAAACAGCTATTTTAAATTGTAATAATATTTTACAATATTACTGTTTTTACTGGATTTTGAGCATTTAAAACTTTGAATGGATAGTAGTGAATCACATCGCAATTATAATGACAAAAAATGCCTCACCAAATCAATACATTAAATTGATTCCTAAAAGAATCTAGTTGAGAAATCATGATCGATTACATGGGAATTTGTCTGTCAAGTGCTTCAAAAAGTTTTCATCATCCTTAGGTATGACTCAAACATTTAGTTGCATGAGAATAGATCAACATTTAATGCAAAATATGCAGTATTCTTTCATTGGGACATAAAACCCACCAAAGTGTAGGAATACGATGCACGTATGGGTATAATTGCACACAGCGTACTCCACAACACCATGTCGCACATGTATGCCAACACGCCCACACACGCTCACCCTGTGCCCGCAACTCCATCAACACACACCTCCGCACACCCTTGTACCCGGATAACCACGGCCAAGCCCACACACGGTTACTTGGCTTTGGTTTCGTGGCCAATAGAGAGAGAGAAGGTTTGCACTTCCAGCCTCGTTCAGAGAGAGGAAACGCGCCTGCCAAGCTTCGGAAATCCTTTGATGGCGCTAGAACTCGGGCGAATCTGTCCAAAGTGCCTGACGTGGGAGATTATTGTGGCGTCGTGCACTAGATAAACCCACAAAGATCATGTTTATGTTTAAAAACAGCCATATGTCACACTTTTGCAGCTGCCACCAAGGGTTGCGAGCCTCGCGCACGCCGTTACGGTCGAGATATCAAGCAGGATATGCATTACGAAAACACAGTCCCCAGACAGGCAGGCCTTTCATCTAAAGTTATTGCCACGCTGCCTGGGGTAATACATCACGAATTCTGTAAGGACAATGCTAAGAAGCGCAATCTGAGGACAAATGCATCATAGTTGCACAGTGAGCATTTTGTTACAAATAATGTTGTCATCAATTTTCATCTTTTGTTTAAACATATTAGTCTTTTGGACAAGATAGGTCATATTTCAGCGGTTTGATAAATTCTCCCTTCTTGCCTTTTCACAGAATGTGCACTTAATTAATTACACAACCTTTAATTGGACAGATTATTCCTAATGGTTGTGCGATGCTAAATGTACAAACTCAGAAGAGGCTCAGGAGTCATTATTTTAATGCCACATTTTCAGCTCGTTGCAATCGGTATATTTCAAATAATTAATCAGTTTCACATCGCGAGAAACATTTGGCCTAAAATAGACAAATTACGCTCACATTTGTGAATTTTTTTTATCTCCAATACCATCCTGTAATAATATCACAGATGCAGTGCTTTATTAAGGGGCGAGAGAGTGTGTGTTTTTTTCTTCGTCTAATTTTATGATATCTGCAGGCATTTGGGTGTTTAATTAGGGCGGTAATGTCCGGTGATGTACGTGATGGATTTTTACGGAAGCCGGCTTTAACTATCTGAGGCGATATCATAAATCACAACCTTGGCTGTAATGCTTGTGTGAGTTTGTTTAATTAGGATGTCCACTGAGAGATTCTGGGTGTTGCTTGGTTTGCATAAGGAATGCCAGTTATACAAACACAACAGAGATTTCACATTTCATTGTGCTCCGAGGATTGTCTATCCTGCTGAAAAAAATAAATAAATGAAAAACTAGTCATCACTGATATTAAGAGTGTGTTTGTGTGCATCTCTAGAACCTTTTTTTTTTTTGGTCTTTGATGGCTTAAATTATTCTCTGCGACTCTGCTACCCCTTGGAGAACCAAATATAATGTGTTCTTATAATGCGACCCACTCATGTTAATAAGCCAACAGATGCTATTTTCGAATAAAAATGTTTCCAATCAGGAAGCGGTCACGGCCCGAGTCGTTCATGGGACTAAAGGCGCATTTCGAGCAGCAAATGCCAACGGCCTCTCAAGTGCAAGCCAAGTAGGCCTACTGAATTTAAATTCAATATTTCACTCTACGTCTCGATTCCCTAACGTGATTCTGATCCGGTCATGAAAATGAACTTTTTCTGTACAGGAGAGGTGATACAAATCTAATAAATAAAATTGACAATTTACAACATAAGTGTACTATTAGTCTTTGTAAAGGGGACGTAACAACCACCTCACAATCAAGAGCAAACAACCCCTTTCACATTAACCACAACTCATGAATATGACAACAAAAACAAATATCCAGCAGAAACGGAAATAAAAACGTGTCAGTTCAGAGTTTCCGGGTCAGACAAGTTTAAACACACACAATAGACTAAAATCTAGATAGGCATGTCCAGTATTTTCTGTCAGCTGTGGTTTAGAATCAGAACATGTGAATCGATGTTCGATTCGTGAATGAATCACTCTATTGAGCCGACTCTTCACGAATCGTTCTTTCTCATTTCAAATTCAAATTCAAATTCAAATGAGCTTTATTGGCATGACTTATACAGTATTGCCAAAGCATTGGCCATTACATAGGCAATGAACAAATAATCAGTAAATGAATCAGTAAACAAATGCATGAAATACATGCATATATATCAGAAAACAAACAAACAAAATAAATAAATAAACAAACAAACAAACAAACAAAAAAAAAAAAAACATTTCTCTCTCTAAGTTAAAGCTTTAAAATAATACTCAATGAACACAGAGAACAACAAAAGTGATTAAAAAGTGGATATTTACCTATAATCTATTGAGTCGAACCTGCATCTTATCGTTTTCCAGCGACGAAAAAGGTCTTTGGGTTCATTCTGCACGTGCTGTGTGTTTTGAACGTAAAACATTCAAAACACACACACATATCAAAACACTAACTGTACCTGATATTACCTTTGCTTGACATTACATGTACAATGGCATATTTGTAATACCTTGGATTACATAGATTCCGTAGGATATGGGGGGTTTCGTCATCTGTGGGCACTTTTGGTCCTGTGAATAAAAAAATGGAAAACTTTTTTTTTAACACTGGAACTAACTTAGTTTAATTAATTCGTCAACTATGCAGCATAGCCTAACTTTTTCACCACAGTCAGCATCATTTTCATTACAACTAACATTATATAGGGCTATAGTATTGTGTTTGATAACATTCTCAGAGTGATGGAAAGTATATGTTTAATAACTGGCCTGCTCCTGTCATGCTAAGGCTAATTTCCTAGCTAGCAGTATACATGCACACAGTTAAATCATATTTTAACGTTTATATATATATATATATATATATATATATATCATGCACAGTAAAAAAAAAAAGTTTAAAAGTGATATTTACCATAATTGTTTTCTTATCTTGACGCATCAGGTCTCATACTTCACCTCAAGCTCTTCACTGACACCGTGCTGACTTCTTGGTAACCAATTAAGCAAACATCATTGTTTTAGGTGGTAAAGTAAATACTTGATGCATCGAAAAAAAGTTTTCAAGACAGTTTTAATGTAAATTTTGAAAGTGAACAAAATTTTGATTAAAAAAAAATCTGTTAATTAACCGCTTAAAGGGACAGTTCACCTAAAAATAAAAATTCTGTCAGAATTTATTCACCGAAGTTGTTTTAAACCTGTACGAGTTAGAAGAAGATATTTTGAAGAATATTAGTAACCAAACAGTTGGACCCCATTGACTTCAATAGTATTTTTTTTTCATAAGAAATATAATATTTTTAAAGATTAAAGCACTTTAAAAAAAAGAAAGTGTAAAAAAGTTCTAAAACAAACGTACTATACCAAAAAAAAAAGATTTTTTATATTAATGTATATTTTACAAAATAATTTTATTCTCAAAATGCAATAAAATCGTAGGTTTAACCAAGTTGTGTTCCAAATTTTAAGTTGATATCATAAAAAAAGAGGTTTTTATTATATATATTTAGGTGCTGTACCAAAACATATCCTCCAGGTGTTCACCCACATTCCATTTAAATTTTGTAATGTTCTTCTATAACATTAATTAAATAAATTTCCGTCAGAATATCACCAAACAATCACCAAATATGGAAACACGGCAAATATCTCTCGTCTCAGACCTTCCCCGACGATGTTTTGTCAAAATTAGAACAAAAAAATAAAACAGAGCCAACTCTTTTTGTTGACAGTTAAGGGGAAATGTCCTTATATTTTTTATTATACATGTTCTTTTATAATGTTTGTATGTAAATATGCAAATATGTAAACTTTAAGTTTATTTAGCTTTCATTTTTTATAAAATTACATGAATCGTAGTTTAAAAATTGATAATCGCACAGTAGACGGCAGCCATTGACTTCCATAGTAGGAAGAAAACAGGAAAATACTATGGAAGTCAATGGCTGCCGTCAACTGTCTGGTTGCCGACATTGTTCAAAATACCTTATTTTGTGTTTAACAGAAGAAAGAAACTCGTACAGGTTTGGAACAACATGAGGGTAAGTAGACTAATGACAAAATTGCAATTTTGGGGTGAACTATCCCTTTAAGTGCGAGTGACGCATTCTTTTGAAAGAAATTCTCAGTTTGGGTTGATCATGTTCTATATAGACCTCATATAGAGGCAGAATCAAATTGGGGGGCTATCAATGTTTAACATGCCCAGCTGGATGGAGACTGGTAAATGTGGTGCAGCGTGGTACAGGGGGCACGTAGGCCAGGTGACCACAGCAGGCACGCGTGTCAGTCCGTGCTCATTAACGTGACTGATAATGCCATCTATCAGCCATCTAATTGGCGATGAGGGTATTTTAACCAGGCCCACGTATCCATCACACAGCTGTGGACAAGATGATGGCACTTCATTACCAGAGTGCTAACCAGGTAAAAGTCACATCCATTTGTAATGAGTGCGGGGGCCGCTTTCACTCCTGTCCATTTTCATTATGTAAAGTTCAACGCATATGTATGTGTATTGTAATTATCTTGATGAATATGCAAGCTTACTTCACTTTGATTTTTCCACATAATGTCACGAAGGCAGCGAAGACGAGCAAGTGCCGTGGAACAAATAACTGTGGTGAGGTAAGCATGTTTCGAAATGATACATATGCGAGTTTCACTTTCACTTGATCGTGTTCTTATATTTGGTGTTTTTTTTTAATTTGTTACAGTAGATAAAGAGAACAGGAAACAATTTACGATTGAAAAAAGTCAGCATAGATAACCAGATTATCTGGAGGCAAAGAGCACATTTCTCCATTTGAATGTAATTCAGCATATCAATATTTCATTATATGATAGTAGATGATTTCCAGTCTTTTTTTAAGTGCCGTTATTATGCTTTTCGAATATTTCGTTTGATGCCGTGTGTAATGTAGCTGTTTGTGAATGTTAAATGTCTGCAAAGTTTCAAAGATCAATGATAAATAAGGTTTTTGCCTGTTACAAAACAAGAATTTGCATAATGCCAGCGTATGGTCTTTATTGGCTGCCCATAGACAACATCTAATTTGTTCTGCCCTTAAACACTGTAGTTGTACAGTAGTTGAGGCCTGGAAGAGTTTGGTTCGTGTTCCTGTTTTCTGAACTGCGAAAGCAAATCCACTTTTCTGCACTTCCAAAGCATCAGGACTCGCACTGGAATTAATACGGTAAAACCGACGCCATTGTTACTGTTCGCATCGCTGTGTATAAAGTGCTGAGGAGGATTTCTATGGTTGCAACCCCCGCCCAAAATGTCCGGGATTCGGCTTTTGCGTTCTACAGTCGCCATTCATCATGTTTACTGTGGCGAGCGGGACGAGTGAGGGCCGCGGGAGAACGGCGCGAGGCCGGTGGCGTGATTACCGATGAGCGACACCTGTGAGACGCACCGGTCTCGTATCTCTCACAGATTTTCTTAGCAATGTTAAAACGCACATCAACCGATCATTTGTTTAGCGTTCATGTAAACACTACATTCAGATTCACCAACGGAATGAATTCAGTTAGATTGAAACATAAGCTGTGCATGTAAACAATGAATGGCGACTGCAGAAAGCAAAAGCTGAACATCGATGGCAGGACATGTCCGTGAAAAAGAGGATGGTAACCCCGACTACTCAGCTTTCTCCACAGAACAAGAGCCTGCTATAGCTTAGCTTCCAAAAAAAGATGGCCGACACTATGTGTTCATTCTGTGAGTGAGATCGCCCTCTATGGGCCGGCTGAAAAGATGCGGGACAGACCCTATTACTGACTGTAGTCTTTAGCCTCTGGACAAAAAAATCCTCCGATGACGCATGATGATAATTTTTGTGTCATAAGAGGATTTTTTCCAGACAAAAAATACATGAATCTCTCGTCTCAGGGGGAGATGAGGGTGGAAAGCACGGTAATTCGAAAATACTACAGGTTTCCTACTAATACAAAGCTTAATGCTAAATCCTGAAGTATCCCTTTAAGTGTAAAATACCGAACTTTGACCTTTAACCTGTGAGAGTGCCATGGCTAGGCTATATTTCTGAGAGAAATGTTCTTATTCTTTTAAGTTAAAATGTTTATTTTAGTACTAATATAGATATATATTTTTTCTATTATGAAATAAAAATATATTTTTTTATTAAATCTTCATTTATTTAAATATATATATATATATATATGCACACACAATACAGAAAGAGGCAAAGAAATGTTGCAAACCAGATTTCAAACAAGTATCGTCCATGGCATTTTAATAAACTGCACAGGAAAACTGGCATGGCAGGCAACAGCTCCACTTCCTTGGATTTTTCCTCCGAAAGAAAAATTGCCAATTCATCCTTCGCTGTCCAGTCCAGTACAAAAACTTTGCTAAAATGCCCAAAAGTCCATATTTAGTAATTCACATGTCAGTGATTATCATTTCCAACCCCCTCAGACTGCAGCAATGAATCTTTACCCCCCTCCATCTCTTCTTCCTCTCGTTCTGCCTCTCCCTCACTCGTCCTTCCCATTTATTGCTTTGTACAGCAAAGCACCATTACTGATCCCTTCCAAAGCACAAACTAAAAATCTATCCCGTTGTCATTTGCTTCGCCGTGCCATCTATCATCTGGGAGCGGGTGGGGGGAGTTTGGCAGCATCTCAGCGCCAGAGAGGAGGCGCTGGAACAGGAGGCAGAGTCAAGGACTTTCACGCGCAACAAAAAACTTGTCACAATTATTTATGGCTCTAGCTGGGACACATAATAGGACACATCAAACTGCTGTTTTTTTCCCTCCCTTTCGGTTTTTTTCCGCTTTTTCTTCCCCTCCGCGGCGATGAGCGCCCTCACGTCGCCGGCTCCCTTGTCGAAGTGGGTCACAGGCATCTCTTGCCTTACACATACAATTTCCAAGACAATGGCGGAGCACTTGGGGAAGTGACAGTGACAAATACAGGAGGCCCCACCGAAAGCTGGGCAGGCTGTTACATGAGTGATTGCGCCAATAATCATGCAGGGCCGTCACGTGGCCCCGGGGCAGGAAGGAGGGAGGGAACGAGAGAGAGGAGAGTGGAATGAACGAGGGATGGAAGAGTATATGTGATGGACTGAGGAGGAGAGAGGGGAAAAAGAAAGCTAGATGGACAGATGGAGAAAGGGTGCTTAAACAGGAAGGTGAAAAAAGAGTGGGTCGGTGATAATGAACGCATACACTACTGTAAACTTTAGTTGATGGATAGATGGATCTAAAATTTCATAAGTCGATCCAAAATGTATTGGATGGGTAGGTAGGTAGGTAGGTAGGTAGGTAGGGATAGATAGATAGATAGATAGATAGATAGATAGATAGATAGATAGATAGATAGATAGATAGATAGATAGATAGATAGATAGATAGATAGATAGATAGATAGATAGATAGATAGATAGATAGACATTAGTTAGATAGATAGATAGATAGATAGATAGATAGATAGATAGATAGATAGATAGATAGATAGATAGATAGATAGATAGATAGATAGATAGATAGATAGATAGATAGATAGATAGACAGATAGATAGATAAATAGATAGATAG